TTAGTTTATTTCTGTATCGATCAGTAATAATTTTTTATTTTATATTCTTTAACAAATTTCTTTAATTTCTTTATGCTTTAACATATTTCAGAAGAATAAATGTTCTTGGAGTATCTTCAAAGTTTTTTCATTTTGAGATATAGAATTGGAAACGTTATATATGTTCTTTAATTTTCGCAACGCTCTCGATAAATTTGATTCATTTTCAGGGTTTACGAGATCTGCTAGTCATGCAAAGTTACCGAATTGTATTACGGATACGCAGTTGACGTGGTCACGGGCTGCCGTCTCAGCAGCCTATTGTAAGGATGGACTGGGACCTTGCGCATGGGCTGGGACCTTTTAGGTACATTTCCCGTTATTTCCTGGTTCCTTCAGTGAGTCGGGAATCAAAAGTGCTCGCATGCAGGATCCTATGAGGCGTGGAGCTCCGAAGGCCGCTGGGAATGATATAAAAAGGCCCTGATAGTCCCGACTTGCCTAGTCTTGAACAGGACGCCGTACTCAGCACAAGTTATAGTGAACTAACAATAAAATGAAAGTAAGTTATAACGGTAGAAATTATGCAGTAAATATAATTTTTTATGTTTTTTTTCTAAATTCGGCAGGTAAACCAGATTGTTAAGTATAGTACGCAGCTGATTGTGAAACACCCTGTACAAATATAACGTAATGTTACGTGATTACATTTTTTCCAGTTCACTGTTGTACTGCTCGTCGTCGCCTTGACCTGCTGGTCATTCGTCGTGGCCAAGCCTCAGCCCGAACCTCAATTCTTCGGTGGTGGATTTGGAGGCGGACGAGGATTTGGTGGTGGATTTGGAGGTGGAAGAGGATTTGGTGGTGGATTTGGAGGTGGAAGAGGATTTGGCGGTGGATTTGGCGGGAGACCAGGATTCGGCGGAGGATTTGGAGGTGGTCGAGGATTTGGTGGTGGATTTAGTAACGAACGTTTCAGTAATGAATTCTTCGGGTAATGATTCTTGATTTGCTTCAAAAGTATTTTGACGGTACCAGACTTTCGGAAAATGTCTGCAAACATTCTAACTGAAACGCCAACAAACAAGGTTTTGTATGAACGTGTAAGGCTTATCATAAATTTTAAGACATGTTGTAAAACGACGGGTTTTATTCTTTAACAAAATGGTTTTTTAAACGTGAGTTAACATCAGAGAGCCAACATGAGTCTATTATTAATTGTTGAATTTGAGCAACATTGTGTTTATAAATTTCTTAAATGATTTTATAATAAAATTTAATGTGAACCTATAAATTATGATGGTTGATTAAAGTCCGTCAAGAAATCAGTCAAATTTGTTGAATACTGTTAAATTATGTTAGATTTTAAAAAAGTGAAAATCTACTTGTCTGAGAACTGATCATGGAAGCTGATACTCCACTCCCTGGAGTACTGATGAGAACTGATACTCTATGCACTCAGTACTCGGTGGGCACTGAAGTATTTGCCGAGAAATAATTTGAACGGTGAACCTTTTAGAGAGTATAAGTAATAAAAATTAACTGGAACCAAAATAGTGATTGACACTACAGGTTACTGGTAGACCTTTAATGTCCTTGTGACCTTGTATTTTATTCATAATAACTACATTTCTTCATTATTACTGTATTGTTTGATAACAAAACTTTCGTTTTACTTACCTTGGTTACCTTTCAATTTTCGTTTTACTTACCTTGGTCAAGATCTCTACAAATGAAGTTTCTTACCGTTCAATCGTGGGTTATGGATGAAATGCCCGACATCAATTATTATTCGCATTTATAGGGCAGATAATTAAATTACCATAAGTGGACATCGGAAAAGTAACACACAACATCATAGACGAAATTATCATCAATTGTGAGGGAATTATTTAATGTATGAAGATTAGCTTTGATGTAATTTGAGAATATGAAAATTTGATCACTCGGTAGTGCCAAACAGGAATATTTTAATTAAACATTTTTCATAGTACAAATGGGTTTGCTATTGGAGATCGAAATGCATTTTAGGGACATATGTTATCGCCTCAGTGTCTTCTTGTTCAGCTGCCTTAAAGTTCACGATTGAAGAATCGGCCACCCCGGTAAATTTAGGAATTCCAAGATTTCGTTTAAGTTTTCTACGCATTTATCAATGAAGAGTTAGCCTAAAGCATGGCCAGGAGGGAGAACAAGAAACAGCTTCCAAAAAATTTTTTATCTGACATTTTTAATTTACTCGGAATCCTGCCAAAATTATATTTTTTTAGGATTTTATGCTCCAACTGTTTTCAAATGTTCTTCAAGAAACCGAACTTGAACATGTGGCTTTTAACGCTCATTGACTAAATGATCGATTCTAGGGAGTAAAAGTTTATGAATAAGTTGAATCCTATGGAAAATCCTATGTTTTTAGAAAGTAATCAGGAGAATTTAGCTTAAAAATTTCACACATCAGACGAGGATTATTTCAAGCGTGAGTGGCAACATTCTGTGGTTACCTGTTTTTCGCCCTCAATTTGTGTTTTTAAATTGACATTCAGCTTACTAATTTCATTTCTGTCATCTTCAAATGGACTAATATTACGTCTTATATGTATTTATACGTTTCAAATGTACTGATAATACGTTTTATACATGATGTCGAGTTTTGGGTATATATCTGAATCCCAATATGGCTTTTTCTGGTACGTTAACGAAGACATCAGGTGAACCTATTGAGAGTTGTGCATAACTCGTGACAGAACTTCACCAACAAACCAAGATATTAACAAATATATTTGCCAGAACAGGAAAAAAGACGCTCAAGAAATGTTTTTGTAAAATTCACAAATTAAGGCGTTAGCAGCTAAGAAGTGAAGCAATATTGTGAAATTGTTATAAAACCTCGGGCAATACAAAACATGCAACTTTTTCTACAATTTAAAACAGTGATACTAAACATAAAGTGAAATAATGCGACCTTATTCAATGCTAATTGTGATGATTTCCTTTAATTTTTTGTAAGCTCTCTTTGTTATGAACTGCAACTGCGCTACCGCCAAAAAATTTGAGAGCAGTGAAGACGGAAAATGTCAAAAATATTGTTTCCATTGCACACAGTTGAAAACAAGAGCTTTCAGCTAGGTGTGATCAATGGTCATTGGTCACCTTCTAAAATGAATAAGGAACATTTGCGTATATGTAGTCGAGATATGCGAATCATTTTCATCTTTAATTAATAAGCCTGACAATTCATCTTAATCTTCTGATTTTAAAGATGACAGTAGAGCAATGGGAACAAACAGCTGGAAATATCCGTTCTTAAGTTATTGTGGCAGTAAATCAGTATTTCATATCGCGCTGGAGATTACTGTCTAAACTAACTAATGTGAGACTAGTCATATAAATGGGTAAAGAAGCGTCTAATGTTAGTTTTATGTTACGAAACACTTGTGTTTGTTATATTTTTCTTCACCACTTATCCATTGCACGAGAGCCTCCAAGACCCATTTGAAAAGTTATTTAATGTGGCGCGAGACTGCTGCGCGAGACGGTAAATTGATCGGCAGTATGGCTAAATACTTGGAATTACCTTGTTTGTTTTCATTCAAATGGGGGTATCAGCCAAATGGGGTATCCTCAGAATACATCAATACAACAAGAACCTCTGACATGCAGTGCGTCTACCAGCCCAAGCATCTCCGAACACAATCTAGTTTTTAGAGCTAAATGATAGAACAGATACCCGATTCTTTTAAAGTTTGATTGCTTTTAGGAATGCATAGATGATCTGAGTAAGTTCGCAAAAATTTAAGCGATGACTGAATTATTGCAAAGGAGCACGACCTGAAATATTCTGCTTTATTCAGATTTCTGGGTATGTGTAGACCTGCTGCTTTATGTATACTCTGTGTCTAAAATATGTATGTCTACATATTCTAGGTCTGCAATGTCTGTGTCAGTCTCAAATAAGTGTCTACAATATTCGAAGAAATGTTTTCTTCAAATCTTTAATTAATCGCTATCTTGCAAGTTTGTGATATCAAGTTCATTCTTATCTCCGCCGTAGTTACAGTTATTGTTTATGCTCATCTAAAACAACTGATAATATTTTCCTGAAATGTATGATTTTCCATTTCTCCTTATATGATATACATAAAAATCCTTTTCCTTAAAACTATTTCTGAAGTTTCAAAAATATGCTTAGATCTAAATCAGGCTTCAACTATTTAATGAAGTACAATGTTCTAAAATACAGTAATAAGCTAAATAATGTGTCTTGCATTTTTGTCGTAGTTATAAATTATTTTTCCATTTTACAAAACAGGTATCTGACGTTGCTAAAGAGTTTTACTGTATTTTATCTAATTTAAACTTACCAGTATCTACTCATAGGGATGACTAGAATTAAAATCAGTAAGCTGCATGGAAGCATAGGCGTAACTTCATACCATGGGAATAGAAACCATAATATTTCAATTTGGTTTTTAGTCTACTCGTGATTTATTTGAAATTATTGGAAATTTTATTCGAAAATTTCATTCTATGAATTAGTATTTTTAACTGATTGTGATAAGACCTATTTATCGAGTATTCACTAGTGAGGGGGTGCAACAATCACTGTTAGACCGCAGTTTGCTCTGCAAGCTTTGTCTGCCGTCTTCTGAATGTTAAATGGGGAAGAAAAATTACGAACCGAAATGAACAATGATGAGCAATCCACTATAACTCAAACCTCATGTAAAAAATTCAAACAAATGTAAACAGAAAATAACTGAATGTTAAAATGTTCATAATATCATATGAATAAATGTTTTGTGGATTGCCATCTAAGGTACTTCCATTTTGAGATATAGAATTGCAGACGTAATAGATGTTCGTTAATTCTCGCGACTCTCTTGATACATTTTATTCATTTTCAGGTTTCACGAGATCTGCTAGTCCTGCAAAGTTACCGAATTTTTATTACGGATACGCAGTTGACGTGGTCACGGGCTGCCGTCTCAGCAGCCTATTGTAAGGATGGACTGGGACCTTGCGCATGGGCTGGGACCTTTTAGGTACATTTCCCGTTATTTCCTGGTTCCTTCAGTGAGTCGGGAATCAAAAGTCCTCGCATGCAGGATCCTAGAAGGCGTGGAGCTCCGAAGGCCGCTGGGAATGATATAAAAAGGCCCTGATAGTCCCGACTTGCCTAGTCTTGAACAGGACGCCGTACTCAGCACAAGTTATAGTGAACTAACAATAAAATGAAAGTAAGTTATAACGGTAGAAATTATGCAGTATATATACTTTTTTAAGTTGATTTTTCTAAATTCGGCAAGTAAACTTGATTGTTAATTATAGAACGCAGTTGGTTGTCGAACACCCTGCACCTGTACAAATAAAACTTAATATTTCGTGATTACATCTTTTTTTTCTTTCCCAGTTCATTGCTGTTTTTCTGCTCGTCGCCTTGACCTGCTGGTCACTCGTCGTGGCCAAGCCTCAGCCCGAACCTCAATTCTTCGGCGGTGGATTTGGAGGTGGACGAGGATTTGGTGGTGGATTTAGAGGCGGACGTGGATTCGGCGGTGGATTTGGAGGTGGAAGAGGATTTGGTGGTGGATTTGGAGGTGGAAGAGGATTCGGCGGTGGATTTGGAGGTGGAAGAGGATTCGGCGGAGGATTTAGTAACGAACGTTTCAGTAATGAATTCTTCGGGTAATTATTTTCGATTTGCTTCAAAAGTATTTTGACGGTACTAGACTTTCGAAAAATGTCTGTAAACATCCTAACTGAAACGCCAACAGATAAGGTTTTGCATGAACCTATAAGGCTTACTTATCATGAATTTTAAGACATGTTGTACAACGACGGAGATTTATTCTTTAACAAAATTGTTTTTTAAACATAAGTGAACATCTGTGAGCCAACATAAGTAAAATATTAAAATTGTTTAATTTCAGCAGCATTGCTGTTTTAAATTTCAGTAATGATTTAACAATTAAATTCAATGTGAACTTATGAATGATGTTTAATTATGATAGACATTAGAGAAGTGAAAACCAACTCGTTTGAGTACTGATCATGAGAACTGATACTCCACTCCCAGGAGGACTGGTGAGAACTCAGAACTGATACTCGACTCGGTACCCGGTGGGCACTGTAGCGTTTGCCAAGAAATAATTTGAACAGTGAACTTTTTAGGAAGCAAAGGCAATAACTGAAATCAAAATAGTGATTGGTACTATAAGTTACTGTTAGACCTTTAATAGAGAACACGGACCAATATCTGCCATACTTAGCGAGAAACCCGCTATGGGCCCGTGACCCGCAGTGGGCTCGCTGCCCCATGTTACCCTACCTTCTAAGGTACTTCCATTTTGAGATATAGAATTGAAGACGTAATAGATGTTCGTTAATTTTTGCGACTCTCTTGATAAATGTTATTGATTTTCAGGTTCCACGAGGCCTGCTAGTCCTGCAAAGTTACCGAATTGTATTACGGATACGCAGTTGACGTGGTCACGCGCGGGCTGCCTTCTCAGCAGCCTATTGTAAAGATGGACTGGGACCTTGCGCATGGGCTGGGACCTTTTAGGTACATTTCCCGTTATTTCCTGGTTCCTTCAGTGAGTCGGGAATCAAAAGTCTTCGCATGCAGGATCCTACGAGGCGTAGAGCTCCGAAGGCCGCTGGGAATGATATAAAAAGGCCCTGATAGTCCTGTCTTGCCCAGTCTTGAACAGGACGCCGTACTCAGCATTAGTTATACTGAACAAACAATACAATGAAGGTAAGTTTACGATAGAAAGTATACAGTAAAAATAGTTTTTTTGTGAAGTTGATTTTTATATGTTTGGCTTGTAAACCGGATTGTTAATTATAGTACAAAATTAGTTGTCGAACACCCTGTACAAATAAAACTTAATATTTCGTGATAACATCTTTTTTCTTTCCCAGTTCATTGCTGTTCTTCTGCTCGTCGCCTTGACCTGCTGGTCATTCGTCGTGGCCAAGCCTCAGCCCGAACCTCAATTCTTCGGCGGTGGATTTGGAGGTGGACGAGGATTTGGTGGTGGATTTGGAGGTGGACGAGGATTCGGTGGTGGATTTGGAGGTGGAAGAGGATTCGGCGGTGGATTTGGCGGGAGACCAGGATTCGGCGGAGGATTTGGAGGTGGTCGAGGATTTGGTGGTGGATTTAGTAACGAACGTTTCAGTAATGAATTCTTCGGGTAATTATTTTCGATTTGCTTCAAAAGTATTTCGATGGTACTAGACTTTGGGAAAATGTCTGCAATCATTCTAACTGAAACGACACATATAAGGTTTTGTATGAACGTGTAAGGTTTATCATAAATTTTAAGACATGTTGTAAAACGACGGGTTTTATTCTTTAACAAAATGGTTTTTTAAACGTGAGTGAATATCTGAGAGCCAACATGAGTCTATTATTAATTGTTGAATTTGAGCAACATTGCGTTTATGAATTTCTTAAACGATTTTATAATAAAATTTAATGTGAACCTATAAATTATGATGGTTGATTAAAGTTCGTCAATATCTCAGTCAAATTTAGTGAATACTCTTAAATTATGTTAGTTTTTAAAAAAGTGAAAATCTACTCGTCTGAGAACTGATCATGGAAGCTGATACTCCACTCCCTGGAGTACTGGTGAGAACTCAGAACTGATACTCCACTCCCTGGAGTACTGGTGAGAACTCAGAACTGATACTCCACGCACTCAAGAACTGGTGAGAACTCAGAACTGATACTCCATGCACTCAGTACTCGGTGGGCACTAAAGTATTTGCCGAGAAATAATGTGAACGGTGAACCTTTTAGAGAGCATAAGTAATAAAAAATTAACTGGAACCAAAATAGTGATTGGCACTACAGGTTTCTGGTAGACCTTCAATGTCCTTGTGACCTTGTGTTTTATTCATAATAACTACATATCTTCATTATTACTGAATTGTGCGATGACAAAACTTCAGAGACTAAATTTTCGTTTTACTTACCTTGGTCAAGATCTCTTCAAATGAAGTCGTGGGTTATGGATAAAATGCCGACATAAATTATTATTCGCATTTATAGGCCAGATAATTAAATTACCATCAGTGGACATCGGAAAAGTAACACACAACATTATAAACGAAATTATCATCAATTGTGAGGGAATTATTTAATGTATGAAGATTAGCTTTGATGTAATTTGAGAATATGAAAATTTGATCACTCGGCAGTGCCAAACAGGAATTTTTTAATTAAACATTGATTATAGTACAAATTGGTTTGCTATTGGAGTTCGAAATGCATTTTAGGGACATATGTTATCTTGTTCAGCTGCCTTAAAGTTCACGATTGAAGAATCGGCCACCCCGGTAAATTCAGGAATTCTAAGATTTCGTTTAGGTTTTCTACGAATTTTTCAATGAAGAGTTAGCCTAAAGCATGGCCAGGAGGGAGAACAAAAAACAGCTTTCCAAAATTTTTTTATCTGACATTTTTAGTTTATTCGGAATCCTGGCAAAATAATATTTTTTAGGATTTTGTACTCCAACTATTTTCATATGTTCTTCAATGCCACCGAACTTGAACATGTGGTTTTTAACGCTCATTGACTAAATGTTCGATTCTAGGGAGTTAAAGTTTAGGAATAAGTTGAATCCTATGGAAAATCCTATGTTTTTTAAAAAGTAATCAGGAGAATTTAGCTTAAAAATTTCACACATCAGACGAGGATTATTGCAAGCGTGAGTGGCAACATTCTGTGGTTGCCTGTTTTTCGCCCTCACTTTGTGTTCTTAAATGGTTATTCAGCTTACCAATTTCATTTCCGTCATCTTCATATGAACTAATAATACGTTTTATATGTATTTACATGCATGTATACGTTTCAAAAGTACTGATAATACAATACGTTTTATTCATGATATCGAGTTTTGAGTATATATCTGAATCTCAATATTGTTTTTTCTGGTTCATTTACGAAGACATCAGGTCGACCTATTGAGAGTTGTGCATAACTCGTGACAGAACTTCACCAATAAACCAAGATATTAACAAATGCTTTACCAGAACAGGAAAAGAGGCGCTCTAGAAAAGTTTTCGCAAATTTCACAAATCAAGGCGTTAGCAGCTAAGAAGTCAATCAATATTGTGAAATTGTAACGAAACCTCAGGCATTACAAAACATGCGACTATTTCTACAATTGTAAACATTTATACGAAACAAAAAGTGAATTATTACGATCTTACTAAAAGCAAATTGTGATGATTTCCTTCGATTTTTTGTTAGCTCTCTTTGTTATAAGCTGCACCTGCGCAACCGTCAAAAAATTTGAGAGCAGTGAAGACAGGAGATGTCAAAAATATTTTTTCCATTGCACACAGTTGAAAACAAGAGCTTTGAGGTGTGATCAAATGGTCGTTGGTCGCCTTCTAACATGAATAAAGAACATTTGCGTATATGTAGTTGAGATATGCGAATCATTTTCATCTTTAATTATTAGGCCTGAAAATTCATCTTATTCTTCATGATTATTGATAAGAAAGTACAGCAATGAGAAGAAACAGCTGGAAATATCCGTTCATAAAATAACGTTATTATTGCAGTAATGCAGTAAATCAGTATTACATGACGCGCTGGAGATTACTGTCTAAACCAACTAATGTGAGAACGAGTCATGTAGTTGTATGAATGGGTAAAAAAGCTTCTAATATTATTTTTATGATACAAAACACTTGTGTTTGTTTAAATTTTCTTCACCACTTATCCATTGCACGAGAGCCCCCAAGACCCATTTGAAAAGTTTGTTAACGTTGCGCGAGACTGCTGCACGAGACGGTAAATTGATCGGAAGTATGGTTAAAAATTTTAAATTAACTTTTTTCATTCAAATGGGGTATCAGTCAAATGGGGTATCCTCAGAATACATCAATGTAACCAGAACCAATGGCACCAGTGCGGCTACGAGCACAATTGCATCTCCGAACACAATTTAGTTTTTAGAGCTAAATGATAGAACAGATACCTGATTCTTTTAAAGTTTGATTGCTTTTAGGAATGCATAGATGATCTGAGAAAGCTCGCTAGAATTGAAAGGACGACTGAATTATAGCAAATGAGCACGACCTGAAATATTCTGCTTTATTCAGATTTCTGGGTATGTGTAGACTTGCACCTTTATGTATACTCTGTGTCTAAAATATGTATGTCTACATATTCTGTGCTTGCAATGTCTGTGTCAGTCTCAAATATGTGTCTACAATATTCAAAGAAATGTTTTCTTCGAATCGTCTTTAATCGCTATCTTGCAAGTTTGCGATGTCAAGTTCAGTCTTATCTTCGCCGTAGTTACAGTTATTATTTATGCTTAATTAGAACTATTCCTGAAGTTTCAAAAATTTGATTAGATCTAAACCAGGCTTCAACTATTTAATGAAGTTCACTGTTCTAAATTACAGTAATAAGCTAAATATTATTTCTTGCATTATAATCGTAGTTATAAATTGTTTTCCATTTACAAAAGAGGTATCTGATGTTGCTCAAACGTTTTACTGTATTTTATTTAATTTAAACATAGCAGCACCTACTAATAGAGATGACTAGAATTAAAATCAGTAAGCTGCAAGGAAGCATAGGTCTAACTTCATACTATGGGAATAGAAACCAAAATATTTCAGTTTGGTTTTTAGTCTATCTGTGAATTATTTGAAATTATTGGAAATTTCATTCGAAAACTTCATGCAATGAATTAGTATGTTTCATTGAATGTGATAAGAATTATTTATCGAGCATTCACTCGCGAGGGGGTGCAACAATCACTGTTAGACCGCAGTTTGCTCATCAGGCAATGCCGGCCGTCTTCTGAATGTTAAATGGAGAACCGAACGAAATGAACAATGATGAGAAATCCACTAAAACTTAGAGCTCATGTAAAAAATGCAAAAAATGCAAACAGAAAATAATAAAGTTAAAATGTTTATAATTCCAGAAGATTAGCATTAGATGGCAGAATTTTCTTGTTGTAACGCGTACGAATAATGATCAGAGAATGCATTATATTCCAATTTGCTGGGATTTAAAATTCTTCAAATGACTTTATAGCTCAATAGGCATGTCTCAGTAAGAATTTATAATATATTTAACGACGTTTTGAGTGTATCAACATTCATTTTCAAGTTGATAGAAGCATTGAACAATGAAATTTTTGATGGTCATATGTACATAATACATGTAAATAGGATACAACAAAGAAATTCTAAACGGAACTTGACTCTGAAAAAAGCACTGCATGATGACGATGCTGGTGGGTTCCTCCAGCACTGCATGATGACGATGCTGGTGGGTTCCTCCAGCACGGTGTGAGCGATGGTCTTGTGAGCTTGTCTCAAGGGGTTCCCTTGTCCTGCAGACTGTAGGTGGCAGGTGAGACGGTCTCAGTGCCGTGGTTGTTAGTCCAAAAACTCCAATGTAGTCCAAATGATGAAATAGTCTAAAACCTTCTTTGAAGGAAAATTTACAGATCACATCGGCTTCTTGGAGAACTCCCGGTTTTTTGAAGCGTCCATTATTTTGTATACTCCGGAACTTGACGTTGTTGTCAAAGGTATCGATAAGTTGAATTCATTGCCAGTTGAATTTATCGATAATTTTGAGATGAAGTTGCTTGTTTGAAATACTCAAAGTCGTAGTTGTTGGTCTAGTTACTCCAGTATAGTCCAAATTTCGAAGAAGTCTACGAACTTCTTTGAAACAAAATTTTCAGTTTACACCGGCCTCCTGGAGAACTCCCGCTTTTTTGCAGGGTCCAGTGTTTCGTACAGTCAGGAGCTTGACGTTGTTGTCAAAGGTATTACCAAGCGAGTTGAATCAATCGAGATTTTTGGAATGAAGTTGCTTGTTTTTAATACTCAATGTCATAGTTGTTGGTCTAATTCTTCAATGCAGTCCAGATTAGAAAGTTGACAACATACTTTGAAGCAACATTTATAGACCACACCGGCCTCTTGGAGGATTCGAGCTTCTATAAGCATTGGTCATTGCTGCGTATGGTCTGGAGTTTTGACGCTATCATGGGTTTCACAGAGCCTGTTCAATTCACCGATAATCTTGAAATAAAGTTGCCCGACTTTAATACTTTGAGGTAGTTTGAGATACTTTTCTAAATGTTCAAATTTCATATTTTTGAGTTTGCTTTTAATTTGTCTCGCAATTAGTTTATTTCTGTATCGATCAGTAATAATTTTTTATTTTATATTCTTTAACAAATTTCTTTAATTTTTTTATGCTTTAACATGTTTCAGAAGAATAAATGTTATTGGAGTACCTTCAAAGTTTTTTTCATTTTGAGATATAGAATTGGAAACATTATATATGTTCGTTAATTTTCGCAACGCTCCCGATAAATTTTATTCATTTTCAGGTTTCACGAGACCTGCTAGTCCTGCAAAGTTAGGGAATTGTATTACGGATACGCAGTTGACGTGGTCATGGGCTGCCTTCTCAGCAGCCTATTGTAAGGATGGGCTGGGACCTTTTAGGTACATTTACCGTTATTTCCTGGTTCCTTCAGTGAGTCGGGAATCAAAAGTCCTCGCATGCAGGATCCTGTGAGGCGTGGAGCTCCGAAGGCCGCTGGGAATGATATAAAAAGGCCCTGATAGTCCCGACTTGCCTAGTCTTGAACAGGACGCCGTACTCAGCACAAGTTATAGTGAACTAACAATAAAATGAAAGTAAGTTATAACGGTAAAAATTATGTAGTATATATATATACTTTTTTTTAAGTCGATTTTTCTAAATTTGGCAAGTAAACTTGATTGTTAATTATAGAACGCAGTTGGTTGTCGAACACCCTGCACCTGTACAAATAAAACTTAATATTTCGTGATTACATCTTTTTTTTCTTTCCCAGTTCATTGCTGTTTTTCTGCTCGTCGCCTTGACCTGCTGGTCACTCGTCGTGGCCAAGCCTCAGCCCGAACCTCAATTCTTCGGCGGTGGATTTGGAGGTGGACGAGGATTTGGTGGTGGATTTAGAGGCGGACGTGGATTCGGCGGTGGATTTGGAGGTGGAAGAGGATTTGGTGGTGGATTTGGAGGTGGAAGAGGATTCGGCGGTGGATTTGGAGGTGGAAGAGGATTCGGCGGAGGATTTAGTAACGAACGTTTCAGTAATGAATTCTTCGGGTAATTATTTTCGATTTGCTTCAAAAGTATTTTGACGGTACTAGACTTTCGAAAAATGTCTGTAAACATCCTAACTGAAACGCCAACAGATAAGGTTTTGCATGAACCTATAAGGCTTACTTATCATGAATTTTAAGACATGTTGTACAACGACGGAGATTTATTCTTTAACAAAATTGTTTTTTAAACATAAGTGAACATCTGTGAGCCAACATAAGTAAAATATTAAAATTGTTTAATTTCAGCAGCATTGCTGTTTTAAATTTCAGTAATGATTTAACAATTAAATTCAATGTGAACTTATGAATGATGTTTAATTATGATAGACATTAGAGAAGTGAAAACCAACTCGTTTGAGTACTGATCATGAGAACTGATACTCCACTCCCAGGAGGACTGGTGAGAACTCAGAACTGATACTCGACTCGGTACCCGGTGGGCACTGTAGCGTTTGCCAAGAAATAATTTGAACAGTGAACTTTTTAGGAAGCAAAGGCAATAACTGAAATCAAAATAGTGATTGGTACTATAAGTTACTGTTAGACCTTTAATTTCCTTGTATCCCTGTATTTTATTCATAGTAACTGCATTTCTTCAATACTACTATTATGTTTGATGACGAAACTTCAAGAACTAAATTTTCGTTTTACTTACCTTGGTTGAGATCTCTACAAATGAAGTTTCTTACTGTTCAATCGTAGGTTGTGGATTAAATACCCGACATCAATAATAATTTTCATTTATAAGCGAGATAATTAAATTACCATCAGTGGACATTAGGAAAGTAACATTTATAGACGAAATTATCTTCAGTTCTGAATAAATTATTTAATATTTGACGATTAGCATTGATGTAATTTGAGGACATTAAAATTTGATCGCTCGGTAGTGCCAAACAGGAATATTTTATTTACACATCATTCATAATACAAACGGGTTTGCTATTAGAGATCAAAGAGAATTTTTGACACGTATGTTATTGCCTCAGTGTCTTCTTGTTCAGCTACCTGAAAGTTACCTATTGAATAATCGTCCACCCCAGCAAATTTAGGAATGCTGAAAATTCGTTACTGTATCCTACGAATATATCAATGAAGAATTAGCCTAAAGCATAGCCTTGAGGAGGGGCAAAAAAGAGTTTTCCAGATTTTGTTTACCTGACATTTTCAACTTACATGGAAACCTGCAAAATTAATATATTCTCTAAATTTTATACTCCTACTACTTTCCGATGTTCTTCAAGGCCCCCGAAGCCACCGAATTTGAGCATGGGGGTTTTTAACACTTGTTGATAATATGTTTGATTCTAGAAAATAGAAGTCAATGAATAAGTTGAATCATCTGGAAAATCCAATGTTTTTTAAGAATTACTCAGGAAATTTTTGTATACAAATTTCACACATTAGACGATGATTATTGCAAGCGTGAGTGGCAACATTCTGTGGTTGCCTGTTTGTCGCACTAGATTCGTGTTTTTAAATAGTTATTCAGCTTATGAGTTTCATTTCTGTCATCTTCAAATGTACTAATATTACGTTTTTATGCATGAAATCAAGTATATTTTGAGGTTTGAGTATATTTCTGTAACCCTATATTGCTTTTTCTGATACGTTTATAAAGGCATCGGATCAAGCTTTTGAGAGTCGGATTTGCAGAATTAGTAACAAAACGTCACCAATAAACCAGAATATTTACAAATAAATGCAATCGTGCGACTTTCGTGCAAGAACAGGAAAAGAGACGTTCTAAAAAAGATTCGTAAATTTTACAAATCAAGGCATCAGCAGCTAGGACGTCAAGCTGTATTGTAAAATTGTTATGAAACCTCATACAAAACATGCGACTTTTTTCTACAAAATACATCATTGATGCTGAACATAAAGTGAAATAGTGCGACCTTATTCAAAGCGAATTGGAATTATCTTTTTTGAATTTTGTTAGCTCTTTATTAGGCGTTGCAACTGCGCTACAGACAGGAAAAAATTGAGAGGACAGGAGGTGGTGAGGTGAAGGCACAAATTGGAAGGGACCTCCTTGAGGGCCAAAAATCAACAATGAAATTTGGCTAAATAAGAATATTTCAGCTAAGGAAGAACAAGAAAGCATGACCAAGACCTGGAGCGGTGTGTCGTAAATCAGTTTTAGACTTTGACAGAAAATATCAACGCAGTGGCTGATTTTTTATTCTTCCCTACTTCGGTAGCCCGTCTGAAACATAATTGAAGAATTTCCAGAGAATTGAAAATCTCATTTCTGCAATATTTCCCGAGTATTAACTTGCTTGTGTTGCTAGTGAATATTTTCAAAATTAGTTATTTCTTTAAATATAAGGAAATTATTCCTGCCCGGTATACGAAATATTTGTTAAACTAATGTCACTGGTATAGTGGCAAATAAACGATGATACAATTTGAAAACTGCTAGCAAGGTTGTATCAAAAATTACCATTTGAATTCTAAATTGGGATAAATTAATTTAGTTTCGAAAGAAAAACAATCGTTCTACATTTTGTATCGAGTGTCAAATGAAGTTCAATGCTCAATGCGAAAACTGTAGTGTGAATTGAACGTGGCATTCCTTACAAATCATACAATAATGGTTTCATTTCTATTTATTCCTATTTCATTTTATAGACGAGACAAAAAAACTCATGTTATCGATCCTGCCGGGTCGATCCGGGTTAACCGGCTAGTTTTTTATATTTGCTGATCGGTATAATAATATCTTATGTTTGACAATTCGATGTCTGCATTCTATACAGTTATATTCAGGGAACATTATCCGTTGTAAAATTTTTGAATTGAATGAAGAAAAAATATGTCTTACTTTTCATTCATCGCAGTTATTTGAATAAATCATGAGAAAATAAACGAAGTCGAAATATTTACTTCAGTCAGGTTTCGATTAAATATACAGGGAAACAAATTATTAAAAAATTATTTAAAGGAAATCCCATCCACAACATCGAGAACCACCTTACAATTCATAGAGACAAAGCGGGCTCGTGATCACATCTCCTTCCATTGAAATCTAACTTGCGATCGCACTAACTTACACTTATCACCATAATGCCTCTGTTATTTTCATTTTAGAACGGAAACTGGCGCATTATTTGTTCGATATTGATAGTCTGGATGAAATATTTTATTAAGGGACATAAAAAATCATTCCCAAATCTTAAACTTGTATTGATATTTTTCTTTAAAGAGAGCAGAGTCTACATATCACTTCATTGCTTATCAATTAAAATCTGAGAGACTTTCAAACGGTCCTTGGACGGAAAATATTCCTTATCCATTGTCCGAAATCTTCAAATCCTTGTCTGAAACCAAATCCGCGAAATTGTGGCTCAGGCTCGGGCATGGCGACGGCGAATGCCACACAGGCCACTAGGAGGACGATCAGGAACTGTAAATATGAAATTTATTAGGCCCTTTGTGGTACATTGTTCAATATACAAGTTATGCAGAACATTAATCAAAACACTCACGAAATAAATATAACTTCTTTAAAGAAAAAGACTCAAATTCTAAGGCCTATGGTTCTTCTCGGCTAGGTTGAAGTATATAGGTACAGCTACAGATGCGGTAGCTGTATACGTCATCACAGCTAGAAGAAACATCGGTAACTCAATCCGCTGAAGTCATTGGCTTGATATAATTGCGATATGGAGATTACCGGCCCTTCATTAATCGAATTATAACTTAAGTGATATCTTAAAATTTATGCTGTCATGAAAGATCAGCTCAAACTTATGTTTTGAAATTTGTTTATTTAATTCTTTGGTGGGCAGTACTGAGAATGAGAGGCAAAATCATTTGATGTAGATGAAGTTCCTGATATTTTGTTTGCAGCTCACGTTAAACTTGTTGGTTCTTAAGCAATTCAGGCAGGCAGGAGAAGCGCCTGTACAACAAATTCCCTATATACCTTCAATGTTACGTGGCTTAAATTTTTTTCCATCCCTTGCTCATGAAAAATATTTTTGATCGTTCAATAAATGTAGGTAACCAATTTAAAAAAACGGCACGGTCTATAAAATTTATAAACTTGCACGAATTCTTTCTACTTTTGATGGAAATGAGTTAACTGAGTTGAGGAAATAATCTAATTGAGGAATCTTAATTTAAAAGCGGCTTTCTTCTGCAGCATAACTGTCATTATTCTGGCGGCGATATCTGATACCGAACAAATTCACTCGCAAATTTCATGCAGGATGGCAATCAAACTTGCTTGAAAACAGGCTCATTGAAAACTTAATTTGTTAAATCGCAATGTTCCGCACCACTCACGAGCTAACGAAAAAAGTTAATCCCGAGCTACAGGTATGCGATTAGCTCTCAACTGAGCTATTTATGAATTGATTTATTGATTATTGTCCCATGTGGTCTGGCAACAACAAATTATTATTCATCTGTTTATAGCATATATGTTTATAATATAAGTAGAGTCGATATATAGATTTTATACATTTATTTCTCAAAATATGTTTTTTTTATTCAGTCCAAATACCGGTTAGTAAGCATCACAATACCAAGCGTTTTTTTATAGTCCATTACGAACCTAAAGGATCTCCAAAAAGGATTCTTTACATTACTTGAGTAAGTGCATTGAAGCTGGTACCTGTATTACGACAGTACAATTTTGCAATATGTTAATGGTTCCAAAACCAACTTTATCCATAACAAACTTTATCCATAACCAACTTTATCCATAACCAACTTTATCAATAATCAACTATATTCATAATCAACTTTATCCAAAACTAACTTTATCCATAACAACTTTATCCATAACCAACTTTATCCATAACCAACTTTATCCATAACCAACTTCATCCATAACCAACTTTATCCATAACCAACTTTATCCATAATTAACTATATTCATAATCAACTTTATTCAAAACTAAGTTTATCCATAACCAACTTTATCCATAACCAACTTTACTCATAACCAACTTTATCCAAAACTAACTCTATCCATAACCAACTTTATCCAAAACTAACTTTATCCATAACCAACTTTATCCATAATCAACTTTATCCATAGCCAACTTTATCCATAACCAACTTTATCCATAATCAACTTTATTCATAACCAACTTTATCCAAAACTAACTTTATTCATAACCAATTTTATTCATAACCAACTTTATCCATAACCAACTTTATTCATAAAAACTTTATCCACAACTAACTTTATCCACAACCAACTTTATCCATAACCAACTTTATTCATAACCAACTTTATCCAAAACTAACTTTATCCATAACCAACTTATCCATAATCAACTTTATCGAAAACCAACTTTATCTATAACCAACTTTATCCAAAAATCACTTTATCCATAACCTACTTTCCAAATTTGTGCGATCGGAAATTGAAGATCAATTTCTAATTTGGTAGCATTCATTCCAAAACTTAAAAGTTCCTTCAAATTCTAAACCGCATAAATGTTCTAAATAAAAATTTTAATATTATGTTTTTGTTTAGTTTATTGGTTGTATTAAATGCATTTTTCTCGACATAAAACTTAATATATTTCATTTGCTTCCATTTCCTTTGAAAAGAGAGATGAATAAGAATTCTCTATCTAACTGGGGGTTCGAATAAATCGTACTATTATAAAGATTATTCGATTAAAGGGTTTGCATTGGGATTTTTCATAATGGATTAGTGTTTTCATATAACGCTTTTTTTAACTCAGGGATTTATTAATAACAGGCAACGCCGGATTGACTTACTCGTACATCATGAAAAAACTGCATGAAATAAAATATTTCGAATGCTGCATTAAAAAATAGATCCATTTTCATCATATCATATGACCAAAACTGTCGCTTTTAAATTTCTGCCGTACTCACCAGTTTCATTGTCTTGTTGAAGAGTGGAACTCGGTGAGCGTTGTTAAGTTTTAATAAAGAACTTATGAAGAACTGAGAAGGACTGCTTACAGGGCTGCTTGATCGTTCTTTTATAGCACTTCTTGCGACCTTGAAGATCCCACAACTGAACTGGTTTGATTACCATTATGAAGATGGGATAAATAATTTATTTTAAGGGATTGCCTTCGTTGCAGAGGTACTACCTCGTCGTACGCTCGAGTTCCAATTCCCAATGCAACCCTCTTTTTGAGCGCATTATTTCGATGGATGACTAGGCAATCTCAGGCAGGTTATAGGTGACGTCTGCCCACGTGTGTCTTTTAATCATTTCATATGATTAATTGACTTTAAAGGTGATCTTTGGCACCATGTATATATCATGGAAACTGTGAAACCCCTGACAAAAATTACAATCCCTGGCAAAAATTATGGAATCACTGGCTTCGGAGGATGTTCACTCAGTTGTTTAACTTTGTAGAAAAAAAGCAGATCACAGACATGACACAAAACTAAAGTCATTTCAAACTTCTGGCTTTCAAAGTCATTTCAAACTAAAGGCATTTTTCTGGCTTTAAGAAACACTATAAGAAATCAAGAAAAAAATTGTGCAGTCAGTAACGGTTATTTTTCCAGACCAAGCAGAGGGAAAAAATATGGAATCACTCAATTCTGAGGAAAAAATTATGGAATCAAAAAAAACAAAAGAACGCTCCAACACGTAACTAGTGTTTTGTTGCACCACCTCTGGCTTTTATAACAGCTTGCAGTCTCTGAGGCATGGAGTGACAAACTGAGTGACAAACAGTACTCTTCATCAATCTGCCTCCAACTTTCTCTGATTGCTGTTGCCAGATCAGCTTTGCAGGTTGGAGCCTTGTCATGGACCATTTTCTTCAACTTCCGCCAAAGATTTTCAATTGGATTAAGATCCGGACTATTTGCCGGCCATGACATTGAACTTATGTGTCTTTTTTCAGGGAATGTTTTCACAGTTTTTGCGCTATATGGCAAGATGCATTATCATCTTGAAAAATGATTTCATCATCCCCAAACATCTTTTCAATTGATGGTGTAAGGGATTGGATAGGATGTATAATGGGATAAGAAAAGTGTCCAAAATATCAACGTAAACTTGTGCATTTATTGAAGATGTAATGACAGCCATCTCCCCAATGCCTTTACCTGACATGCAGCTTCATATCATCAATGACTGTGGAAATTTGCATGTTCTCTTAAGGCAGTCATCTTTATAAATCTCAATGGAACAGCACCAAACAAAAGTTCCAGCATCATCACCTTGCCCAATGCAGATTCGAGATTCATCACTAAATATGACTTTCATCCAGTCATCCACAGTCCACGATTGCTTTCCTTAGCCCATTGTAACCTTGTTTTTTTCTGTTTTGGTGTTGATGATGGCTTTTGTTTAGCTTTTCTGTATGTAAGTCCCATTTCCTTTAGGCGGTTTCTTACAGTTCAGTCAAAGATGTTAACTCCAGTTTCCTCCCATTCGTTCCTCATTTGTTTTGTTGTGCATTTTCTTTTTTTGAGACATATTGCTTTAAGTTTTCTGTCTTGACGCTCTGATGTCTTCCTCGGTCTTCCAGTATGTTTGCCTTTAGCACCTTCCCATATTGTTTGTATGTGGTCCAGATTTTAGACACATCTGACTGTGAACAACCAACATCTTTTGCAACATTGCGTGATGATTTACCCTCTTTTAAGAGTTTGATAATCCTCTCCTTTGTTTCAATTGACATCTCTCGTTTCGGAGCCATGATTCATGTCAGTCCACTTGGTGCAGCAGCTCTCCAAGGTGTGATCACTCCTTTGTAGATGCAGACTAACGAGCAGATCTAATTTGATGCAGGTGTTAGTTTTGGGGATGAAAATTTACAGGGTGATTTCAAAATTTTTTCCTCAGAATTGAGTGATTCCATATTTTTCCCCTCTGCTTGGTCTTAAAAAATAACCGTTACTGACTGCACAATTTTTTTCTTGATTTCTTATAGTGTTTCTTAAAGCCAGAAAGTTGCCATTTGAAATTAATTTAGTTTTGTGTTATGTCTATGATCTGCTTTTTTTCTACTAAGTTAAACAGCTGAATGATCCTCCGAGGCCGGTGATTCCATAATTTTCGCCAGNGCGCCGTCTTTTACGACTCGCCTCTTATGGATATGCATTATAAAAATGAATGAGATTATCTAACTAGAAGAATAAAATAAAGCATTTGGTGCACTTTTCATCGCTCATTTTTCATAATGATTATTCATAATTCGACCGAATGATCACTTCACCATCTGACACAAATATCATTCATCATATCACTATTCATATCACTTTACAAAAATAACCTTCAGCAAATATAAGAATTATTTACATAGTAGGCCTACGTGACGAGGAGTTCGAGAACGAAATATCCTGGTCGCTCTTTTATAGCGCTACTGGTGACCTTCAAAATCCCACAATCGAACTGGTTTGACTTTCAAGACGATACTGGCAAATATAACTTATTATGGCGTTCCATAAGGGTGCATCCGGGGTTTAGGCGTTAACCACGCCGTACGCTCGAAGCTCAATTATACCGCCGACAATCTTCTTTTTGTACGCAATTCTGATCGTCGGATGACTGCACAAGCAAGTGCCTAATACTGCCTACTCAGGGTGATGCACGTGTGGTGTTTCATAAGTTTATTTAATAGACTGAAGTGTCCCTCTTGCAGAAGATCTTTGAAAAATCGATAATATTCACCGATGCAGGTTTGAAGAATGGGCAAGAATATTGGTATTTTTAACACTTATTTTGGCGTGAAATTCACATTTTCTTCTCGTCAACTTTTAGCTTGTCCCAGAAAAGTTCAACTTTTTATTATCCACCCTGAACAGGTCGTTTTCAGTGTGCATATACTGTATGTTTTATTTAGTGGAAATATGAAGCCTGAATGAAAAAAATGCAGCATATAACAACAGACACAAACACTGATGAGGAATATCGGCGAATATTCAACTAGTATGACAAATTGCGAAATAAATTCTAATAAGATAAATACCAATATTATTACTAGTATAAAATAGAGTAGGATGTTTGACAGATAAATTAATACTTTTCATTCAATTCACTTCCCTATTAATTATGCGAGTACAATCATTTGTTAATGCGGATCTAGAATCATTATCATAATCTTCGTTCACCTCATATCATGGTGACCTTCAAAATCCCACAATCGAACTGGTTTGACTTTCAGGACGATACTGGCAAATATAACTTATTATGGCGTTCCATAAGGGTGCATCCGGGGTTTAGGCGTTAACCACGCCGTACGCTCGAAGTACAATTATACCGCCGACAATCCTCTTTTTCTACGCATATCTGATCGGCGGATGACTTCATAAGCAAGTGCCTAATACTGTCTACTCAGGGTGATGCACGTGTGGTGCTTCATTACTTTATTTAATTGACTGAAGTGTCCTTCAGAAGATCATTGAAAAATCGATAATATTCACCGATGCAGGTTTGAAGAATGGGCAAGAATATTGGGATTTTTAACACTTATTTTGGCGTGAAATTCACATTTTCTTCTCGTCAAATTGGAGCTTGTCCCAGAAAAGTTCTACTTTTTATTATCCACCCTGAACAGGTCGTTTTCAGTGTGCATATATGATATATGTTTTATCTTGTGGAAGTATGAAGCCTAAATCAAATCGGCTTAAAATACAATGGATTTATAAAAAAATGCAGCATATAACAACAGACACAAACACTGATGAGGAATATCGGCGAAAATTCAACTATTATGACAAATTGCGAAATAAATTCTAATAAGATAAATAACAATATTATCACTAGTATACAATAGAGTAAGAAGTTTGACAGATAAATTAATACTTTTCATTCAATTCGCTTCCCTATTAATTATGCGAGTACAATCATTTTGTTAATGCGGATCTAGAATCCTTATCATATTCATCATTCACCTCTTAGTCTTCGCCCCATTGTTCAACTAACCGTGTCCGCAAAATCCACCGCCACCGTATCCGGATCCGCGTCCACCACCGAATCCCCCAAATTCTCGTCCACCACCGAATCCTCTCCCAAATCCTCGTCCACCACCAAATCCTACCCCAAATCCTCTAAATTTTATACTCCCACTACTTTCCTATGTTCTTCAAGGCCACCGAACTTGAGCATGTGGTTTATGACGCTAATTGACTAAATGTTTGATTCTAGGGAGTGAAAATTAATGAATAAGCTAGATCCTCAATTCGATATTCTTTAAAAATTATTCAGGAAAATTTGGCATAAAATAATACACATCGGACGATGTTTGTTGCAGGCGTGAGAGGCAACATTCTGTGGTTGCCTGTTTGTCACACTCGGTTCGTGTTTTAAATAGTTATTCAGCTTCCGAATTTAATTTCTGTCATCTTCAAATAAACTAGTTATACGTTTTATACATGAAACCGAGTTTAGATTATATTTCCGAAACCCAATATTGTTTTTTCTGGTACGTTTACGAAGACATGGGAGCGCGCTATTGAGAGTCCGTGGTGCATAATTAGTGACAGAACGTACACCGGCACTCATTACAGCCTCTCGGCGAGTCGACCCTGTTTGTTTGTTTCCAATTTATTTTTACGTCACCAATAAACAAGTATATTTATAAATAAATATTTTTGTTCGAGAACAGGAAATACACTCTAGAAAAGATTCGTAAATTTCACAAATCAAGGCGTTAGCAGCTAAGAAGTGAAGCTATATTGTAAAATTGTTATGAAACCTCAGGCAATACAAAACGTGCAACTTTTTTACAATCTAAATCATTGATGCTAAACATAAAGGGAAATAATGCGACCTAATTCAAAGCAAATTGTGATGATTTTCTTTAATTTCTTGTCTGTTCTCTTTATTATGCGCTGCAACTGCGCTACCGCCAACAAATTTGAGAGCAGTGAAGCCAGGAGGTAGCGAAGGGAAGCTACATTTGGAAGGAACCTTCTAGAGGGCCAACAATTAACGACGAAATTCTGCCAAACAAGGATATTTCAGCTAA